GTGTGTATATATATATATAAAATTTTATATCCTTTACCTCTTAATATCTTTATGAAAATTTGTCTATTTTATTACAAACTTATTACAGTGCGACTTTATTCATTCAATTTATTCACTCAGTTGTGTGGGTTTCTCGGAATTTGCTTTACGGTTTCCTCATGTCGGAAATACAACCCGTTTCTAATTTTGGCTGCTTATAAATAACGCTTGTTGACGATCTTCGTGCAGAGAGAATTTTCTAAAAGCTAAATTTACCCTTAGGAGGGATCGTCAGAAGGTGGTGTGCTACAGTCGTGTGGAGCTGTCAGAGGTGTTTTGAGTGTGTCAAATGGCTTTCTAGCAATCTGGAGTACGGCTGACCCTGTTCTTCATCTCGCTCAGTGTGGACTGTTATCGTTTTAAGTTTGGAATGTAAAAAATAAGGTTATTTCGATTTGCATTTCCTGTTCTCTCTTTCATCTTTTGTGACGTGTTCTGGCGTTTGGGGTGAAAACTAAATAAGGAGTCGTTTTAATTTCAGTGATGATACTAAATCAGTCATGGGTAGTGTTTTAGCAATTATGCTTGGATTGGTCTCTCTGGAAGAACGCTTTTGCTGCTTCTAAACCCCTGATCTGGTTTAGCGCTTGTGATGCGAATTTAAAAACCCAACCGACCGCCCAACGAAACCTTGAAAAGCCAGCCAGTGGGAGGGTTCATCGCACCCCAGGGTGTCAGTCTCTCTCAGGGAATGTGACTGAAGTCCATGCTCGTTGAACACCTTCAGCGCTGACGGAGGCAGAGCGTGGAGGTCTGAACTCACGTCCTGTCTGTCACCTAACGCAGTGCTTTCTGCCGAAGCGCCACGTGTCTGAGAGCAGGGTGCAGTTCGAGTCCTCTGGGGGGCAGATCGCGAGCTTTCTCTTACGTGCTTTCTGTTTTCACTGCCCGGGAGCCTCTGCCTTCCCACCCAGACTCCTGCACCGCGGCGCTCGGCCGGTGTGTGCGCGTCCGCGCCGTGCCATGCGCGTGGCCAACGCGCCGCTCCCGGAGGCGTCCTGCCGGCTTCTGTTTTCACGTCCTCTGAAGTCCGCGGCATCGTCACCACGCTCTGGAAAGGTCATCACGTGGTGAAGAAGGCGAGTTTTTGTGAACGCACCGTTTCCTATTTCTGAGTCATTCACAGGAAAGTCTAGGACAGAATTAAAACACACGGGGGAGGAAATGTTTTAACACGCTCGAAGGTACATTACGGAAGATGGCAGGCTCTGGATAGGTAGTGAGAAGGAAAACTGAGTCAATTTGCATCTCCTCGGCTTTCCCAGAAACATCAGCGTGTCATAGCTTAGCTGCCGCTCCTTCTCTACCTCCCGCGTGATCGAAAAGTTCTGCCGTTCGTTTGCACGCTCCCCGTGTTCCAGGTGTTGTGCGAAGTGTTCCAGAGCTTTCTTACGCTTGATCCTCTCAGCAGCCTCCTGTTGAAGGTTCTGATTGCACAGATGAGGAAGCTGAGGGCTGTGTAGTTAAGTGACGTCCATGCTGTAAGGTGGTCAAGCCTGGGCCTCTAGCCAGAGATGTGTGACTCGGAACCGCCATCAATTATTCCTATGCTCTGACAGCCGTGCTCGATCCAGCCTCACAAATGACAGTGCTCGGATTCCAGGTGGCCTCAGGTTACCTTCACGTGTTAGAATTTCTCTCGCATGTTGCCGACGGGCTGGATTATCACCTTTCTGCTCACTCGACAGGGCGTGCCGACCCTGCTTTCTCACCGGGTTTGCGAGCAGCATACTCCTTCTCCAACAGAGACCTGCAGGTGTCTCCACCTCTTCATCACATGGGCTCCATCATCTGACCCCGCCTAACCGCAAGGGAGGCTGGGAATGGTCCAGCCAGTTCTGTGACCAGGAGGGGGACGGTCTGGTTCTCATTATGGAAGAGAATAATGAAACAAACGAAGGAAAGAGAAACCACCATACTCCTCCCACCAAAAGCAGCCACTGTGAATAGATAGCAATGAAAAGAAATGGCCGTGAATGTGAATGATCTTGATGCACGTTGTTTTGCAGCCCCTGGTCCTGCGTCTGTGTTAATATTTCTCACTCAGTATATTCTAATATTCTTCAAAGGCCTATGCTAGCTGGATTAATGCCTTGTTAACATGGCCATTCAATGTCCCCTCTGTGCGTGATCCCTAGGTATCTCCCATTCTTGTGTGAACAACTTATGTTTACATCGCAATGGTACACGGGGAGACTCCTTCCGCTGAGTAATTAATGCCCCCAACATTCATGAAATAGTTTTTTAAACAGCTGTCAGTCGGTTTAAGGTAGACTCATAGCCAACAGTGTGCCCTAGACTGGCAGAGACTTTATCAAATGATTAGTTAAATTCAAAATCTACTAACCTATCAGTTCCCTAAGAAATAAAGGGCGTCTGGAGTACGTTATTCTCCTTGGACCTATTATGGTTTCTGGTAAACAGTTGCTTTGTGTTTATGTTTACAATGTTGGTTTAATTTTCAGATGATGTATATACTAAGCTCATTGGATTGTACCTTTTGAAAAATTCAGATAATGTATCTAAATTGGGTTTTCTGGCATTTTTCCTGTTCTCTCTGATTTGAGGAAGTGAGTGCAGAACCAAATCAACCTAGGCCTGCCTGCGATCCCCCAAGCCTGGTCTGTGAACCCTCCTCAAACATCACCTATATTATGTTAGACCCCTCATTCATACAGCTCTAGCAAGAATGTTACCAGCAGCCATGGCGGTCCTTTACCTTTTTGCAAGGAAAAGAAAACTTACCTTTTCGTCATAATGCCCTACTGCTGGCTGGACACTGTGGAAGGGAGCATTTGATCCCTGCACTCATTGTCAGCTGACCTCCATTTTTTAGTGTTAAGTCAGCATAGCAAAGGACTTGTCAAATACTTTACAAACACTAGATCTCAGAAATGTAGTAAAGAATCAGATTTCTTTTGGCCAGATTGTCTGGAAGCATTGAGTGGCTAGTCCAGGGCCCATGAGTAAAGTGCATGAATATTCAGCATCACACTGTAACTGCTCACACCGCAAAGCGGGGTGCATTCCTCCCACGAGGCTCCTATGAGTCAAGTGTGCTGAGGGTGAGCTGCTGCTTTAATGCCTGCTCCTTCGACAGTCTGGTTGTGTGGAAATTGGACGTGTCGTAAAGAATCTGACTAGCAGGAGGTGTCTGTGGGAAATGCGTCTGGGAAAGGTCAGGGCCCAGGGACGTGGCGCTTCAGCCCTGCAGAGTCCTGGCTCCATGCCGGAGACCACGGCCCCTGGGGAGGATGGATGTGTCCGCTGGGGTGAGCGGACTTCCGAGGAATCAGGCCAAAGGTTACTTTCCACTTCCCTCCCATGACAAATGCACAGAAGTTGGGCAGAGATATAGCCTGCCTTCCAGGCAGCCTAAGCAAGTGCGAATGTTCTAGAAGGATGCACCTGGTGACTGTCCAAGTGCCCAAGACTATCCTCAACGCCCACCTTGGTGCAGGAGCCAACCCCGCTTCCCTGCCCTGCGTACACTTTGTGATGATGAACATCACTGAGTCTGCAATGGGTTTTGCCCTGGGGGTCGTTTCTGGGCTGCTCTATGGAAGGGGGAGGTCTGAGCCCCTCTCCTCACACCCGGGGAGCAACACAGCCCACACAGCTGCAGGAGGAAGAGCTCGCATCACGACTGAGTCCCAGGACCAGTCATCTGCTGTGGCAACCTGAGGCAAATCACCCAGCCTGTGCCTCACCTCAGCTTCTTATTCTGAAAAATGGGATAATAATCATACTGATCTCGGGGCATTCCCGCGAGGCTTATGTGAAACTGTTTTACAGATTTCTTAGGGAGTTACTAGTAAACATTGTAACCGAGTCCAGGATCTCTCGACTGCTGCTGTTAGGAAGTTCGCACGGAGCCTGAGCTCTCCTGGGCTGCCGTGTGTCCCCCGCTCTGCTTTATTCCTGTTTCCATCAGAGTTTTCGGACCTCGTGCGTTTGTGCTTTTCTTCAAAGGCTTTATTTGCCCAACCAGAAAATCAGGCCGTGGTTTCATTTGGGGTCTGGAGACTGATTATAGGATGTGAGTCCGGTTGCTGTGCGTGTTTTGAATTTCTGATTTTAGAACGCGTGTGTGTGCACGTGTGCACACGCGTGTGGGTCAGGGCATAGGGCGGGTGGTTCTCTCGCCTGCGTAGGTGGTTCTTTGTGTTTCTGATATCTCAAAGTTCATCCCTTGTCTACCTTCATTAAATCATTCCAAAATCATTGTTTTTTTTAAAAAAAAAATTAAGTCCCAACTGTGTGCCAATGACTGTTCCGAGTGTTGGGGAAACACTGGGAACCTTCCAGATAATCGTGTGCCCTGGAAAGGTGACAGTCCAGTGGGGGAAGGCGAATGATTGAACAAGTGACAGCAGAGGGTACCAAGTGGCACACTAGTACAGGACCCCTCCCATGTCCCCCGCCCCGAATCCTGCCCGGGCCAGGTTTGAGCTCAGGGGTGTCTTGTCAGAAGTGGCCTTTGAGCTGAGATCTAGAGGATGAGACGGGGGGGGAGGGGGCATCAGTGAGGCCGTGTTGGCCGCAGGAGGATGATCCAGAAATACGGACTCTCCTGTGAGCGCCCACGGGGAGAGGAGCTGGCAAGACCGTGAGCACGGGGACGGGGACGCGGACGCCAGCCGGCTGGGCCACCTCTGAGTGCTGGAAGCCGTGATGCCCCAGCAAGCTGCTTAGCCTCTCAGGGTCTCTGTTCCTCCCCTGTGATAGTAGAACCTCCCTCCCAGGGTGTTAGGACAGTTTAAAGAGTGAAACTGTGCCGGGCACTAAGTAAGCACTGTATAAATATTTGCTAAATAAGAATAAATCAACTAACATACCACGTGTTTCATCTCAAGGGTATATATTTTTTCTTTTAAGAAAAAGGTATATATTTTTTCTTTTATGTGACCATAAGAGCACATGCTGTTTTTCCTAACATGGAGCATTGCTTTGTGTTTTAGACACGTTCCTGAGTCCCGGATCTTTTTCCCTCCGGAAATACTCGACTGTGGGTCTTCGCGGTTTTGAGCACAAGCAGCCGCCCACCATGGACCTGGCCGGGTTGCTGAAGTCTCAGTTCCTGTGCCATCTCGTCTTCTGCTACGTGTTCATCGCCTCAGGGCTCATCGTTAACACCATCCAGCTCTTCACGCTCCTTCTCTGGCCAATTAACAAGCAGCTCTACCGGAGGATCAACTGCCGGCTGTCTTACTGCATCTCCAGCCGTAAGGAACTTACTCACAATTCTCTCTCTCTGCATCCTTCCGGTTGCGGTGTGTCAGAATCGGGGCTTCGAGGTCGTTCGCTAGGCTTGCCGTGTGTGCTTAGCTATACTATATATCTTTTTGTTTCCGTTCGTTTGGTTTGGGTCGGAAGTGTCTATTTGTCCTCACTCTAGAAAAAAAAAAATTGTTTTTTTGAATGAGTCATGCTGGTAGTACAAAATTTACCAGGCACGGAGGGTATCCCATGAAAAGTAAATACGCATTCAGTCTTTTCTTTAGTTTCTCGCCTCGGAAGCAATCAGTGTGAATGATTTCTTCGTTATCCTTACAGAAACAGCTTATGTATGGAAATGCATGTCTATATGGCTCGTATATGTGTACATGGACGCAAGTCTCTCTGTGAAACATATAGACACATAATACATACACTCATTTTAAAAACTAAATGGCAATATCAAATGTTTTTCTTTTTTTTCTTAAACTTTTTTATTTTGCGGTAATTGTAGAATCAGATGCAGTTGTTCCAAATAGCAGAGAAATATCCTATACACCCTTTAGCCAATGGTAACCTCTTGCATAACCACGGTATAATATCCCAACAAGAAAATTAACACTGACACAATCCACCAACCTTATTCAGATTTCCCCAGTTTTGTATCACTCCTCCGTGTGTGCGTGAGTGTGTGTGCGAGTGTGTGTGTGTGTGTGCAATGATACTATTTTAAACGTGATTAATTCAACTGGCCCGAATTTCAAAAACGAAAATGAAAAAGACAAATCGGAATAATGGGATGTCCAGAGATGAGTTTTGTTTTCGATTCATCTTAAATCTATACCTCTTCTCAACAGTAGAAAATGCAGTGCGCCATTAGCAATTATGTATGGTGTGAGGATATTTTTAAATGTGAGCTCTTTCAAATTAAGCAATTTAAAAATCTCAGCTCTCTTAGATTATGCCAAGAGTCCAAAATTACTGCTGTCTTTCTGAAACTCTTTAAATGAAGCAATCAAATTTGAATCAAAACAATGCAAGCTGCATACTATTCAGATGATTACTGTTGCTCCAATTCGTTATTTTTTAAACCTCAAAATACTAACTTGTGAGGAGAAAAAAAAGTGATAGAAACATCTTTATTCTTGATTTCTTTCACCAACTCAGAACTCACAAATATGTCTGCTACTATTTCTGCTTCGATTTGAGTGCTGTCTTGTATTAACATGCTTTATATAAATATGTCTTGAAAATGTTAATAAGATTATAAAACCAAGTTATAATGGCAAAAATTTATCTTTAGTCTAGGTGCCTTTGGCCTCTTGGGTGCCGTCACCCATTCAATGCAACAACTTGTCATGTGAGTTTCCTTGTCACATTTTACTCCAACGTTGGCCTCTGGTACTTAGGCCTCTACCATGGTCTTGAAAAGGGACAGTTTGTCAGAGGCCGAGGAGATGGCCTGACCCTGAATTGTAGCTGAAGACAGAAGAGTCTGCATAGTCAAGGGAAGGAGATGGTTGTCTTTCACCGTGATGTTTACTGTTAAAATGTTTTGTTCTAATACTCGAGCAATAGGTGTCTATTTAAACAAAACGTAAATTTAACAAAGCAGTGCTGAGTGCACTTTTCGTTGAAACCCAGTGCATTTATATTATACGCGCTCACCCGGGAAGAGTCCCAAATCTGTCAGTTTGGACCTTGCGATGATCTGTATTTGCACGGCTGCAACCCTTATCCACATTTTAAACAGATGGTTGAACGCTGGCTTTCTCATCCGGAGTCAAGACATGAGAGGTCGGGTCAGGACGGGGCTTCCTGAGAGCACCCCGTTTTGCTTTGGGTAGGCGGTGAGGACATACGAAGGTCACGGTGGGATCACATCAAGGTCCTTCTGAGGGTGCTCTAGCCTCCTTGCTTCTGGTGGAAATTGAGATGGGTGACAAATTTGGAAAGCAAGGTAGACTTTTACCCATCATTGATTAATTAGATTATTTGGAATAATTCCAAATAATCTAATTATTTGGAATCCAAGTGGTCTCCATCCAAGACCACTGGCATTTCCCAGGCAAAGTACAGGGAAGGGCTGGCAGTCTGATTTTATCGGAAGGCCCAGAAGCACACCCATCCAGGTTCATCCCATCCAGGTACATCCCACAGCGCTCTGCCTCCTGTCCCAGAGGCTTCCGCAGGCTTAGGGCCATTTTCCAGCCATCCGAAGAGAGGAGGGAAAGCTTCTCACTAGCCCTGGCTCCCGCGAACAGAGCCTGTGGCAGAAGAGGAGAGCGAGGCGTCCTGGGCTTGGCTCCTGGTCCCTCGCTGTCGCCAGCCCGTCAGATCAGGGGAGCTCGCCCACCCTTCCCTGGCTGCCCATCCCCGGCCCCGGCGTGAGCTGGAGAGCAGAGCTCCTTGCTGCGTCTCCCTCTCCACCGGCTCGTGCTCCGTAGCCGATGGCTCCCTCACACCCCGAGTGCCTCCCGAGGAGAAAGACGGCGGTTCGGGTGGCGTTGCCGGGCGGCGGGTCTCAGGCTCCGGTTTGCGGGCGGTTCGCCGGCTCGGAGTCGGAAAGGACCGGGCACCTTCTGTTTGCTTCCACTCTGCTCCTCTTTTTCTAACTTACGATAAAAACCATTGTTGGGGTTTCACCGTGACTTCTGGCCTATGCATCGCTCTGAATCTTAGAAAATCCACAGCGTTCATCATTCGCAGCTGATTTTTTTTTTTAAGAAAAAAAGCAGAATAAGTTGTTTTCTGGAGACACGGATTCCGTCCATCACCCTTTTCCCCAACAGAGCTATGTCATCATCCTTTCCCTTGAAATGTTTGATGACCTGATGTTGCACCAGATAAGCCGAAAGCAGTCGCCAGCCCTGGCGGGTCGAAGCTCACGTCAAATGATGTAAATGACAAGTAGAGACAAAACGCGGCGAAGATCGCGTGGTCACCAGCGCAGAGAATTTTAGTTGAAAGGCAAGAACCCCCTCGCGAATAACAATTTGAAAGTGTACTTCGTCCAGATGGCCGGGATTCAGAGGGTCGTTTTATTTTATTGTTTCCTAGATTCGTGGGTGGGAAAAGCGAGGACAGGCTGGCTTGGCGCGTGAACGGGGACGGGAGGGTAGAGCACGGTCCTGCAAGGTGAGAGGAAGGACGACAGTTATTTTTTTTGAGGGGCAGGATCCTGTCACCCTCCACGGCGCAGGATGCGCCTTTTAATCTCTGGGGAAACGTGGCCGAGACTGGCTGGTTTTTCGTCCCCTCTGACAGTGGGGGCAAGAAAAAGGGAAAGATTGGCAGAACCTATCAAGGGCAGAGATTTTCAAAGGGGGAGTGAGGATGACTACAGGTGGCCTTAATGCTCCCGAAAGGGCTGGTGACACACGGCAGAGCGAAGGCACCATCCCGCCCTGGGTCTCCAGCCCCCGTGCCTGGCCTCCGACCTCTGTGCCGTTTCCAGCTGGTTCTGACACCTCAGCCCCTTCGTGCTCCAGGGCTGCGTGGCTCACGGTTTCCGTGGCCGTCAGCCATGCGGGGCAGCATTGCTTCTCGAATTCACCAGGCTGGTTTCTCGTGCAGTCCCGCTGGTCAGGCTTCCGCGCAGGGTCACCTCCCGAAGCGCTGATTTATTTGACAGTTCCCACGTTTTTCCTTCCTTCTTTCATCTCTCGCTTGAAATCGAAGATCCCGCCTCCCGCCCAGCCCACCCTGAAGCAGAGCGAAAATATGAAAAATAAAAATAAAAGTCCCCGCTCTGAGTCCCAGACGCTCAGGCACAGCAGCCGTCTCCCTTCGTGGAGATCGGCGAGTGCCGGCCCGGGGGAGAGTCCCGTTGGGAGGCCGAGGGACAGGGACCGGGAGCCTTGGAGTAGGACGCGGAGGGGTGCAGAGGGAGGGGTGCAGAGCACCAGTTGTTCCGAGCGTGGCCACTGCCCCTACCTACCCAGCAGCCGTTCCCAGGCAACAGTCAGTCCCCGGATCGGGCGGACAGCACCAGGGCGCCTCAGGTGGAGGCAGAGAGGGCGGCAGTCTCCCTGGGGTTCGGAGGGAACTTCAGACGAGCAAAGAGCACCCTGAGAGCCGCCCGGGACCTGTTTCTGGACGTCCTCTCCACTTCTGTGTCTGTCCTCCAAGGGGAAGGAAGCTGCTTATTGATCCGCTTGGCAGAGGATGTCACTTAGTTTTCATTAAGCGGCAAGGACACGGGGCTGCCCCGGGCTCAGTCCCTGCCGAGGCTGGCCTCTCCATGTACCCCGTCCCTGCAGAGGACAGAGGGGAGCATGGCTGCCATGTCTCGGGGGCCCCCAGGGATGTGGAATCCGTCTCTGAGCAGGACTAGGAGAAGCAGGGCTCATAAGCTTTGCTGTGTCGTCACGCTGTAAGGCCACAATCGGGTGTCTCCTACTAAATGAAAACACGGGGCAGGTTGAGGGTGTCCTTCATAAGAAAGTGCTCCATCAGAGGGCGACCCATCAGCGGGGGGTCGCTGTGGCCTTTCCCGGCGTGAGCTTGGGGGAAACCACACGTCCTGCTGTCTCGGCAGCCATGTGAGCTGTGCCTCGCCTCGCAGGGTGGTTAATGGCAGGGCCGCTTTTTGTCATTTCGATCCAAGCAGATTGTTTTCAGTCCTGAGCTGGGCTGACTCCTTCACTTACCACGATAGTTGTCACCTCCAAGATGTCAGACAGGGTCTTTGTTTAATTGTCCCCAAAGCCCCTAGTCGACCCTTCCCGTCGCTGTTCTGGGTCCTACTGAAATGTGATGCTGTAGGACCCACTGGTCCCTCCCTCCGCTGGGACGACACGGCCCAGAATCTGGGCACTCGTCCTTTTTGAAGGTCTACGGGGTCATCCTCATCAGCCCCCCGCTGGCGACCCCCTCGCAGAGCAGAGTGGGGTCTGACAGGAGCAGAAACACCTGCGGTTGGCACCCTCTCCTTCACTGCAGCGTTGTGATCAGATGGTGGCTTCGGCCAGTAGAGTCACATTGAAAGGTCTGAAAGGCCCATGAC